ATCCTGGCTCCAACGTGCCCGACTCAGACTCGTATGCTCCCGAGGTACTCGTCTCACCAGATGTGCTCTCAATGGAACTCTGGGCAGAATCACTAATCTCCTCCAGAAACTCATCATCGGCAGTACCAGCCATTGTACCTGAAAAGATGAGGATAAAAGTGAGTTTGACATCTAATTCAAATCCACTCTTCCACCACTAGTCAAGTGAAAGGGCTATGAGGAACGAGGAACCTATCCCCGACCAGAGGGCAACAACAAGAAAATTATCGCTCTCTCCGACTAAACGAGCTGGACTCACCCAGAAAACGAGAAGAGAACGACAGAAACGGCCTGAATTCTACGAAAAGACCATCTACACTCATCAAACACCACCATGATTCCAAAACTTCCTAGGGAGAACACACGACATCACCGATAGTCTCACCTGATGAAACCACTGTTACCAACCAACACTCTGCCAGAAATTCTAAATGATAAGTTACCCTAAACCCTAACCGCATGCACTTATAGGAGGAAAACTTTGAAATCTAAGCTATAACAGAAGTTAAATCCACAAAAGAAAGGGGAATCGAGAAACATATCAGATCAAATAAGAGAACGACAAAACAGGTAACGACAAGCGACGGAACAAGCAAAAACTTTGGAAACCGATTAAGTTGAGTAGAAGATTGATGAAGCCGAGAAAAAGACAGTGGGAATGAGCAGAAGGAGAGCAAGCGAAACATGCAAATGAAGCTCCTCCCCCTCTTTTTATAGACCGAACTCGCCAGCGCATGGGCAAACATGCGCCTAGGGAACCCTAAAAGGCATCATCATTAAGACCTAGTCCCTAGGGTAGCCATCATCACGCCTCTCTGACATCATGTGGCTCGATACAAACGTGGCACGCAATCTCTCCAGATTCCAACCAACTGTTCCTCTCCCCGGGAAACGAACACCAGGAAATTTTTAAGGCTCCTCACACGAACTTCCCCCCGAAACACGACGACTCCTCGAACCCGCTCTATTGTTCCTCTCCCCGTGAGGCGAACACGACGAGCATCACTCATGCTCCTCTCATGAAATCAACCAAGAATCACCCTTATTTTACAGGCTGATTATAAGTCATCACTCATGTGCCTAGAAACAACGACTTGGGGGGCTCCTGTTATGGACAGGCCCAATAATTAATATTGGCCCAATCTGCTTCTACCCTTGGCACGACCCAATAATAGTGGCCCAGCTTCTTGGTCGACGACGCCCCTGGACGCACGACCAGCGATGCCCGACACGCACGCCTGACCCAGTCAGCAATTATCTCCCCGTCATCTTGAGACGAGTTAAGCAAACAACCAGGAAATGTCCAAAATGACCATCTTCTCGTAATCTTCCTCCTCCTCAGAACCAACGGCTAGTTACGAGTATGCCTTCCCGCTTTGATCGAGTCCTGACAGTTATATATTTTTGCGGATCCGTATATCTAGACTAAAAAATAGGGACTAATGGCCAAGCGCTGGGGGCATTATATAAATCCTTACACATATGAGGGCTAGGTATTCACAATCTTACACCTTAAACCCTAATATTATGCTTGTATCTCTTTGCTTCCACACTTACTTGATCGTCGGAGTGCCTTGCAACTACAACCCTCTTTTCTCCTCACCTTTCCAATCAGTCAAAGATCATCCTTCGGCCCACTTGCAGGTTCTGGTCAACCGATAAGATCAACAGGCAAGGTATAATCAATCAAGACCAGTACTGAAAAGTAAACAATACACCAGAATTGTTAACCTAGTTTAGAATAACCTTCCTACTCTGGGGGCATACCAAGTCAGGGATAAGTCCACTAAAATAGTATCAATTCATAGACCCTACAACAAACATCTAGTTTACGGCCTAATCATTTAATCACTACCCTTGCTAGACTTCTATCTAAGACTCGCCTAGATATGAGGCCCTCCTCAATCTCTCATCAATCATAGACAGCGATTGGACAAACAGGAAGACACACTTCCATGACAGTAAAACAGAAGACACACTTTCATGACAATACCTAGTTAAGACTCTTGACTAAGAACACAACTTAGAGTTGCTTATAAGCTTCCTCCAAGAACAATACTCAACTCATTACCTAAAGGCTTCTGAGTGATAACAGAACCTTGAAATCCAAGGAACACAATCCAACTCACATGTCGAGTGGATCACACAAATCAACTCTCCTAGAGAGTGGCTTACAGACTCATCCTTAATGATTACATCTTTCTAATTCACGACTCGTACTAATCCTAGGTTACAATGCTTCTATTTATAACCTATCTCTCAACTGGATTTGGGCTTCAGATCACAACTCTTTGGTTGTTACAAATCTGCAGAAGATTCTGCTACAAAATAGGTCTTCAATCAAATCTTTCCTAAAAAGTCTTCTTATTTAGAAAGTCAATATTCTTCAATATTCATCTTGACCTACAAATCAACGCCACATAGGATACTATAATATCCTCAAAGCATATTCTGTCTTTGTTACTTAACAAAATATAACAGTCCAGTTCAACTCAGGTACGATGTCGTATGATCCTCCATAGGACATCTTATCTGACATGTTACTCCAGATGTTAAAACACTTCAACTCAACATATCCCAACATAAAATAAGACTTCTTATGTAACATGTTCTTCATAGCAAATAACCACGTCATATTTAACATACTACTGCTCTATTAATTTTATCGAACACAATGCTAATCAAAAATAGAATTAACACAAACACGCTCTAAATTTTTTTTTTTGAAACAAACACACTCTAATTGATAACAAAATTTCTTTCCTAATTTATTGTTAAAAGTTAAGGTAAAAAATAATATTATTCCATATTTTATTATAATTCTTTTTTTGACTATTTTGCGGGTATTATGAAATGTAATAATTGATCTATAAAAAAAAAGAAATTATGAATAATTTTATAAATCATTTCTTTAATAATAATATATAAAAGATAAATTATAAAGTTAAAAGAAAAAAATAATAAATATTTAATGGTATAGTAAAAAATAAATTTAATAGTTCATTAATATTATAAAATATTTTCTAATTTGACACCAATATTTTTCTTAAAGTTATATAATAAAAAAAAAAGGAATAGTTTATGTTGTTTTAACTTTTGAAAACAAAAAATAAATAAGAAATAACTCAACAATTAAAAGGAATTGAGAAAATGCAATGTATGTTTTATAATCATTTCAAATATTTTGTATTACTTTTCTTTCGTATTATATATCATTAACTCTTTATTAAAAAAAATAATAACCCAGACACATATTCATTATAATATTTGTCATATAAATATTTAAAAAATTTCAAATTTAAATTCTAAGATATGTTGTATTTTTATTTGATGGTTTGGTCCATATTTTTATTTATTTTAAAAATATTTAGCATAAATAAAAAACTAACTATAAACGTTTTTCCTTTTCAACATAAATTATAATAATTGTATATAAATGTTGAAAAATAACTTTTATTTTTTATTTAAAATATATTTTAATCTAATCACATAAATAACTATAAATATTTTCTTTATCACATGATATTTTCAACTAAAGAGGCTTTTGTTGAGGTTTAGTTCAGTTTTGAGACAAAACTATTCAACTTTGATTATTAGTCGCGCGGTTTAGATCAGTTTTTAAATTTAAAAAAAATTGTGTAAGTAAGGAATATGTTAAAAGGAGAATTAAGGATTCTATAACTTTTTAGACAAAGATGGGGGTTAAAACACTGTCAAAAAACCGAAAAATTACATACTAATTACTAACAACGACAAGAAGAACAAATGATCTTTGTTAAAGTCGTAGAAACTACAATTGAAATGTGTAATTTTACCGTAAAAAGATTACTTCCAACCCAAAGATTTAATACTCCAAACCATATTCTGGAAACCTCATTCCGGAAACATGTATCATTTATAACAACCATATACACCACACCGTTATTAACCATTTTGAAAAAAAATATATAATCTAATCAAATCTAATTTCATAACATTTAATTTGAATAATTTTTTTAAATATGAAAATTACAAATTATGATTTATTAATATTATAAAATAATATATTTTATATTATCTACAACATATAATGTATTTAAAAATAATATTATAAAATAAAAATGATATTTAGATCAATTTTTGAATATTCAAATTATAAATTATATTTTTATTATTATTATAAAACATTATAGAATAATATGTTTGATGTAATAGATAATATTGAAAATAATATTATAAAATGAGAATGATCAATTATAATTAAAATAAAATATTAAAAATAAATAAATTAAATTGAATTAATTAATAGTATTAAAATATAAGTATCAATAAATAATAAATTTTTCTAATATATTATACTAATAAAAAATATATTAAAATATATGTATGTATGTATCTGTTTTTGAGCAAAAACTGATTTAATTCCAGCCGTTTTTAACAAAATGAAAAAAAGCTAACTCGTTTTCTTTTTTCCATAAAACAATCAGGCCCATAGTATTTTCACTACTCAGTCTTTTATTCTTTTTTAGTCATCAAAAATTCATTATCATATTGCTGCTGCCACTGTGAGTATCATATAATTTTTTCTATCATTTTTCTTGTTTTTTAACTTTATTTTGTCTCTCTCGCTTCCAATGACAATATATTAGAATTTCATCTTCTATTAGATTAGACTATGGTATAATTAGTGTTGAAATAATTCTAAATATATTGAAGATCACATGTATGTTTGTTAAAAAATATCAAATTAGATAGAAAAACATTATGATACAAATTTGTTTAAATCCAAACAACCAAATCTTGAGACACCTAAGAGATCTTAGTATACTAGATTATGATTTTTATATATGTGTAGATCAAGCAATTTACTGATTTAATATAAGATTTGATGATTATTCCATTTATGAGGGGAATTTTGGAATAAATTATTAAAATGATTAATTGAACTTTCTTTTGTCATGTAAGAAGGCTCAAATAATTTCATGGATTATGCTAGAGGTTCACCGAGAAGAATTAGAAGAAATCGCCAATCTCCTTATACTTTGGCCAGATCTTCTGCTTCTTCCTCTAATGGAGTTGCTACTAAGGATAATGCATCACTTCCCTTTCAGCCATTGTTTAATATTCAAGGTAAATTTTTCTTCTCTTGTTTATACATTATCCTTTTTTGTTATTTGTTTTTATCATATAGAGTTCTAGTAAACATAATATACATATTTATGACCACATAAAAAAATCTTTCTCAAACGTAAAAAATTTATAAAGTTTTATTTTTTTAATTTTAGATTGTATAAATGCATACATGATTTTCCTATATGTTGGTTTATTTAAGATGGTTTAATTTGTTAAATTTGTTATGCTGGTTTATTTAAGAGCGTTTAATTTGTTGTCTTGTTATAATTTTTCAGCTCCTAATACAAATGAAAGTTTATTAGAGAGTGCAAATATGGGTTTTGAGAGATCCTATAATGAAACAATTGGCATAAGATTTTCTCATCGTTCTCCTCTCTTCCGTCATCAACGCCGTCGTTATGATCTCCCAACAATTCCTATGCATGGAGTTCCACCAAGTCCTCCTCCACATGGTGCTGTAGTCCCTCCACAGGTAAGCTTTCAAAATTTTCAATCTTATGGAGTTTGCTTTAAAGTACTCTTAGACACCAAATATAACATAACACTCTTTTCAATATACTCTCTAACTTTTTTTTTTTATTGGATAAAATTTACGTGGGTCTTACTATTTTATGTGAGACTATTTTTGAACTGATAAAAATATGATTTTAAACTTCCTTGCCCTTTTGAATTTTGATAGTTAATTCATTACAATGACATGGCTATTACATTTATAGAGTTTCATGCATACTAACTCACTAATGCTACTCTTGCACATACATGATGATTTACATCAATTTCATACATATTTATTTATGAGTTTCATGCATATACATTTATGGTGCAATGTCATGTTACTTGCATTTCAAGATACTATTCTAATACTTTCTCACAAGATCATGGAGGGGTGAAAATCACGGCTTTGAGCTTGGTGTGAAGCTCTTGGACCTCATTTGAGCCAAGAGGTTTCATGGGTGTATCAATAACTTGCAATGAACTTGAAACATGTTAAATCTGCATGTGTTTTGAGATAACTCTTTCACGTAAATGGATGTCAAGCTCAATATATCCGGTGCGCGCATGAAGAACGGGATTATGTGATAGAAGAACTGCACTAATATTGTCACACAAGAGCGTAGGATGACAGAATGGAATGAGAAGTTCTGTGAGAAGTGACTCCAACCAAAGTAAGTCAAATGTTGTGTGCACCAAGGCCCGATACTCAGCCCCCGTATTTGATTTAGCGACAAGTGGTTGTTTCTGGGAGCTATATGAGACAAAATTCATGCCAAAAAAGAGACATGATCCTAATGTAGAGTGATGATCATCTAGATCACTCGACCAGACCGAATCACTATAAGCATGTAGTGAGAATTTGCAATAAGGAGGGGTTGGAGAAAACATGAAACCATGGTTGATGGTTCAACTTAGATATCTAAGGATTTGTTAGACAGTTGACCAATGAGATTCCAGATGAGATGTCATGAATTGACAAGCTTAATTGACACTGAAAGCAATATATGGTCTCGTGAGGATCGCATGTTGAAGTGTTCCTACCATGGAGTGAAACAAGCGAGGCTCTAAGAGAGAGAATGATTCATGCTTACGGAGTTTGCAGTTTCTTAGAATAGAAGTACTGAAACCATTGGCATTACACATGTTGGCTCATGTGAAAAGGTCTCAAATATATTTGTCTGAGTGAGGAATAGACTCCCTGTAGACAAATGCTTAATTTCCATGCCTAGAAAGTATTTAGGAATGTCCAATTTCTTGAGAGAAAAAGTAGCATGGAGGAAATCAAAAGGTTTGTGAACCAAAATAGAAAAGGAACATGTGATTAGGATATCATCTACATATACCAACGCATAGAGAGTAATACCTTAATGAGAGTTACTAAAGAGAGGGCGATCACATTTTCTATGACCAAAACCAAAGTGAACTAGTGCCTAAGTTAACTTCTCGTACCAGGCCCTAGGAGCTTGCTTGAGCCCGTATAAAGCTTTATGTAACTCGCAAACGAGTGAAGGTTCTTGTTTCTCAAAGCCAGACGGTTGAGACATATATGTGTGTGTGTGTGTGTATATATATATATATATATATATATATATATATATATATATATATTTCTCATGTAAGGAGTCATTAAGAAATGCATTATTTTTATTAACTTGTTGCAATTCCCATTTGTTTGTGAGATACAGAGTAAGAATAACTCAAATAATAGTTGGCTTGACAACGTGATAAAATGTCTCGTTAAAATCAAAACCAAATTGTTGATGGAATCCTTTGGCAACAAGCCTTGATTTGTATTTATTCTCAGTGCCATCAAGATTCTCTTTCACTTTAAACACCCACTTGCATCCCACAAGTTTTCTATGAGGTGGGAGAGTGGTCATTGTCCAAGTATGATTAGCCAAGAGTGCATCGTATTCATGTTGCATAGCCTGAAGCCAATCTGGTTAAGATAGAGCTTGTTTAACAGATGTTGGTGGCCTTAGGTTTAGAATTAAATGTTTTGGCGCTAGTTAACATTGGGTGTTCATTAAACTGAAGAACTTGAGGGAGGGAAGAGTTGTGTAAGCAGGGTGACAATAAGTCCGTCGAGCTAATAATATTAGAGGAATTCTGAGACTGGTATGATGTTCAGTAGGATGTTAGACCTGACTTGAATGTTTGGATGTAGGGGCCTGGTTGAGTGGATTGAGACATTTGAGAAGTGTTGTGAGAATTACTCTAACATGAACCAGGTGTAGGAATAGGTCTTGACCTAGGATTACATCGATCACCAACTGTTGGAATGGAAGACAACTTGTTACAACTATCAAAAAAGGTGGAACATTACACACTAGACTAATGCCAAGTGTGTGAGACACTTTAGTTGAATTCAACTGTGGAAAAGGAATTGACTCAGGGCAACTAAATTGTTTGCAATAAGTATTAGGTTTAAAAGGAAACGATGCAGAAAAAGGAAATAAGTGTTCATGAAAAATGACAGCTTCTGAGATGAATATTTTCCAAGACTTATTTAAGCATTTATACCCTCTATGTTAAGATGAACTTCCCATGAATAACACTCTTAACTTATACATTCTAACTTGTATTTGTTGTAAGGTCTAGTGAAGGGAAAATAGACACAACCAAACACTTTAAGAGTGTCATAACTAGGTAGCTTGTGATACAAGACATGATAAGGGGGTGGAAATTTCAAAGACCAACTGATGGTAACCTATTGATGACATAAATTGATATAGCAAAGCTATGTTACCAAAATTGGAGATGAGTGGAAGCATGTAATAACAATGTAGGGCCTATTTCTAAAATGTTCCTATGTGTATTTTTCGTTGTTCTATTTTGGTGAGAGGTTTGTGGACAATAAGCATATGTAAAATGCCTAGATCAGTTAGATACTTTGTAAAAGGCCTAAATTCTCCCCCATAATCTGATTGTAAGGACTTAATCGTGGTGTGAAATTGAGTTTGGACAAATTTCAGAAATAATTTGAAAGCATAAAGTGCTCCAGACTTGTGCTTCAAGAAGTAAATCCAAGTGTACTTGGTATATACATCAATAAAGGCGACGTAGTAAAGAAAGCCTGAACTATAGGGAAAAGGTACAGGCCCCTAAAGATTTCTATATACAATATCAAAAGGAGCTTTATAAATAGTTGAGGTAAGAGGAGCATGTAGCCTATGAGATTCTCCTAGACAACATGATTTGCATAACATAGTGTTTTCTTTATTCGATATTGGAATATTACAATGTTTAAGAACTAGTTTAATGGCTGAAAAATGTGCATGACCTAGCATATAATGCCACAAGAGACTAGTTCTGAGCTTATTTACATTAGAAACAACTAAACAAGGAAATGAATCAGCATTTGTACAAAGAGGAAATGAGCTTTTGTGATGCATATAAAAGGTCCTTGAAGGCTCCATAACCAACTGTGGAAAGCAGTACAATCCACTTGAATAAAAAAAGCATTCAAGTAGAGTAAGTCTATAAACCTTAGATTTGATAAAACATTTGTCAGCAATGAACTCAAAAACAACTTTGAAATTGATATGAGGTTTCTTGTAATGTAAGGTACATGAAGAATATCATTGTAAGCTAGAGTGCATGAGGGAGAAGAGTTTGCATATGTATAAGATAAACCTACACATGAATTGATGGTTAGATACCGACCATTAGACACACAAACTTGACTTTGACCTGTATATGACTTCTTAGTATGTAAGAAATAATATTTAGGTGTAAGATGATGTGAAGCTCCTCGGTCAACAAACCAAGTTTGGCTTTCAATATTCCTTGACAAAGAATACTCATGTGAAGTTTGCATCAGAGCTAATGCTTAAAGATCAAAAGTTAAGGCTTCAAGTTTATTAGTAGAAGGGTCTGAAAACTCTTGTTCTTTCGATTGTGTTGGTGTAGGTGTAAAATTCTCATCAAACTTATGCCACCAATCAACTATAGAATGACCATATTTACCACATAATTGACATGTCGGTCTGGTTCCAATTGAGGCACACCCTCTACCAAGACCTCTAAAACATTGCATATATCCTTTACATCGATTGCTTGGAGAACTTTCACATACACACACCACTTGTTTGATTATTTTGATGTGGTATCTTTGTCGATATAGATGACACAACCAATTCTTGTCAAAATTTATCAAGTTGAGCCTCTTGAACATAAATGAGATCTTCCACATCATAGAGAGATTAAGGCTCATATGTGTCATACATTTGCATTACAAATGGATTATATTCATCAAGGAGTCCATCAAGAATATAATATATTTGATCTTTCTCCAAATTAACATCTCCAACTGCAAGAAACAAATTGTTAATAGCTTTAACACATAGAACATATTCAGTGATAGAGTTGTTACATTTCTTGATGGATTTTCGTTCAACACGAAGTTTCCTAACTTGAGTTTTCATGTGCGCATTGAAATACTTATGGATCTTGTTCCAAACTTCAAACACATGTTTGAAGAATAGAACATGAGGTAACATTGATTCTGAAATGGTGGAGAGAATCCATATTAAGACAACTTGATCTTGCACTATCCATGATTCATACTTGTATGAAACTTTTCCTTCATCTTGATCTTGTGTAGCCTTGAACTTCTTTGGAATCTGGGGTTCACTACTACTTTTTGTACTATTTGAGCAAGAAGACACCTTCCACTTGTTGATTCCATAACAGAGTTATTCTCCTACAACTTGATCAACAATTTTGGTCCAAATTGATGTGAGAAAGATGATTCAGATACATTGATTAGAAAGCTATGTGAAATATGGATCATGCTTCCAAGTGTTGCATATTGAGCAACTTGCGAAGTTTAAGCCATGGAGACTCAAGGAAGAAGAGACATTTACGTGCCTTGTGATTGGTGAGAATGTTACAGAAATCAATTAGGATAGTTAGAGAGCGGAAGAGGTAGACTAGGTAAATGATACCATGATAGAAATATGATTTTAAACTTCATTGCACTTTTGCATTCATGATAGTTAATTTATTACAATGTCATGGATCCTATATTTATATATTTTCATGCATGCTAGCTCACATATGCTACTCATGCACATACATGATGATCTACATCCATTTCACACGTACTCTTTAATGAATTTCATACATATATTTCTATGGTACAATGTCTTGTTACTTGTGTTCCAATATACTCTTATAATACCACCTAATAATAGAGTGATTACTTCAGAGAGAGTGTTAAAAAAGAGTGTTGCTAGAACTCCTTAATATATGTTCATGATACAAAGCACATACACCTCTAGGAGTAGACAAGTTACCGTGTCTAACATGTGTCAGTGTCCGGCACTTACATTACACTCGTATGATACGTGTTGTAAAATACAAACAAGTGTCAGAACAATCATACAAGTATCTTTCAGAAAATGGTTTTTCTTTGATTTAACACTTGGAGTATGACACTTGTATAACACTCATACAACATGTGTCTGAAAATCCAGACGAATGTTTCATAAAAAATATTTTTTCTTTGCTTCAACACACCTTATACATTTATTGAATAAACCTTACACATATCTAAAAAGGTTAAACATGTATTGAAATGATGTTATCGATGAAGAGTTAAAGACATTAATTTTGATTAGAATATTTTTAACTCTTTAAATAATAGATTCATAAATGAACCTCAAATACTATCATATATGCAGCGGTGCTAGTCTCCTATATTTTTTACATTATTGATGTCTGAGTATATGTGTATGCATCATGTCCTGACAAAGTGTCTCAAATTTTTTAGAGGTGTAAGAAACTAAAGTTAGCTTTCCTTGAGTTGGGAAATTTTTTTAACGGACCATATTTAATCATAAATTAACCATATGATATGTGTATGGAGGCCATTTTTACTATAGCTTAATTAATCATGAAAAATTGTGTGGCTTGTGTTGTTGGCTTCCTTGTGCCTTCAACAATGACCATGTGTCCAAGTGTCTACGTTGGAGTATGTGCTCCATGGGTTTCTTGTAATTATTGATTATTTTAATAGAAAATGTATATTTACTTATCAGTTGAACTTCATTTTTATAGAATATTAATCATGAAAATTTAAGTCCTATGATATAAGCCTCGTTGTGCACCTTCAAAGATGGTAATGTGTCATAGTGTTTGTGTTTCATAAGTTTCATGTAATTATTGATTACTTTAGTATAACATTTATATATTTACTTACCAATTGAACTTCATTATTTTAATAGGATATTGCTATTTTAAATGAAGAAGTGGAAAATCCGGTTGATCCTTATAGAGGAATGCGTTTGAACATCGAAGACATGTCTTATGAGGTCAATTCAAATAAAAGAATGAAATTTATATTTATATTATCAATATAGATATTTTTTAAATTAAGAGATTATACAAAAAAAAATTATATTTGAATTGTTAATTATAGGAACTTCTTGCACTGGGCGAGAGTATTGGTAGTGTTAACACTAGTCTATCAGAGGAAACAATCACTGCTCTACTGAAGACAAAATCATACAGAATTAGTATTAACTTGGAGGAGTTACCATCTGACGATCAAGAATCTGATACTTGCATTATATGCCAGGTATGATATTTCATTAAATTTCATTTCATTCAATTTTTCACTGATTTCACGTTTGATAATTCAAAATCAATTTTTTCTGAAATATTTATAAGTTTAATGTACTCATTAATTATTTTTTGTTAATTGGATAGGAGTATTTTGAAATTCAAGAAAATATTGGAGTGCTTGCATGTGAGCATGTATTTCATGTTGGATGCATAACACAATGGTTGTTGATAAAAAATAAGTGTCCAATTTGCAAATCTGAAGCTTTGTCTCCTACAAATGTTGAATAGAAGAAATCCTAAGATTTTTCATGAATGAACTTTTTGAATAATTTGATTTTAGACATGTCTTGTTATGGTGTTTGTTTAATATTCTTGTTGAGTACTAGACTTAATATCTATAAATTTTTGTAGACATTGTTATGTTTGGATGTTTTTACTTCAAATAACTATCATAATACTTTGAATTTATCATTTTGATATGACTTAAGTTAAATTGAAGCTCTTGTTGTGAATTAATAGTTGTGAATGTATACTTATATCATTCTAGATATAGGTTTGTTTTGATTGATGTCAAATTAGGGATAGCTTAGATTTAAGGTAATTAGTATCCCTAAAAAAATATTTTATGCCAAAGAATCAAAGAAAATATTTGAAAATATAGGAATCTCATTAAAATCATATTTTTCATGCTTTAGACCTAAGTGATTTGAATCATACTATTTAATTATTCAAATTAATGTCAAAAATTATAGTTCATAATTCTCCTCCGATATCAGGATTTAAATCACGGGGTATGTTGTTTTGAATCATGATTTCAAAAATAAAATCTAAAAAGTCATTAATTTTGAATTTTGAAATTTTTTCTTCCTACTGGCAAGAATAATTTAGTTGATCTGGTAAAAAAATAATATAGTCTTTTTTTACCTTATCTCTTTGTCTCTTGGAGATTTATTCAATTAAATATGTGTTGTTTTTGAGGAAATTTTTATTTTTTTTCTATATCATTTAAGCTTCAAGAATCTTGTAAAGATATTTATATTTTCAATAATACACCAAAATTATAATGTCTAGAACTTATCATAATTAGAGTATCAAAACTTTGATACTGTAACATCAACATAATATATGTTCGACCTAAGTACAATGAAACACGTAAAATACATCATTCATATGTACTAAACATAACATGTCAAAGTTCAAAAAGCTAAATACGCAAAAGGTAACATAAAGTATAATTCAACTTTAGCCTTCAAGTCATATTCATTTTACCTTTACTGCATACTTGCTAATTTGAAAAATAATTCAACAATGAAGGATGAGATAAAATATCTCAGTGAAGTCCTTACTAAAATCATAAGTCCATTCACTATCAATAATTCAACAATGAGGGATGAAATAAAATATCTTAATGAGGTCCTTACCTTAACTCCACTCACTACATATCTTATACAACAATAATACCCCTCCGTTAAAATACTTTACATATTTCATATCCATGTAGTTCAGGATAATAACTCAATGATCCTTACGAGTTACATATGCCACAGCTCATGCCTAACATCACGACTCATTAACATCCTACTTGTACCTCGTAGGTCGAGTATAATATTACATGATAGTTAATGAAATGTTAGAACCTCACCCACCAAGTCTAGTATCACTAGATATCTAAGTCTAGTCATACGAGTAAAAAGTCATGCCACACTTAATCTCGACACCTCATTTATCAACAGTTAAATGATCTCCCATGAACTTCACATACATCACACATAAAATGAAATCAAGAATTAGGTCCCTTGAATCATTCAAATTTGTAACATATAATAAATCAACACGTAGGTCTCTTAAATCATTCAGATCCATAACATAGAATGAAATCAAGACGTATTCTTCTGAATAATTTGGATCTATAACATAGAATGAAATTAATGTGTAGGTCCCTTAATCATTAGGATCCATAACATAGAATGAAATCAAGGGTAGATCCTATGAATCATTTGGATCCATAATATGTAATGGAATCAAGATGTAGATACATTGAACCATTATACTTTCATGAATACCACCCATAGTATTGAGACCTAATGGTCATAAAATCTTTTATATAGTACGTCTTTCCACATTATCTTTCTAACACAACTAAGTTGGACTTGAGACTTCACACTCAAGGGAGGTGAATTATGTGGTTTGAAAAAAAATGTGATTTTGAAAACTTTTTGGCAAATTAACTTAGATCAGAGTTTTAAAATCATTTTCAAATGATAAGTAGCGAAAAATAAATACCAGAAAGTAAAAGTTAAGGGATGAAGAAGGACACGTAGAATTATAGAGGTTCGGTCAAAATTGAAGGACCTACTCCTCTCCCTTAGACTTGGTCTTGAGAGTTTCTAATAATACTTGAGATCTTTTAGTAGGAAAGGATCACGAACTCCCTTATACAAGAAAATGGTGGTTGATCTTCAACCAAATATTACAAAACGGTGAATATGGGTGTTTGTGTCTTTTCTCTAATAAATTGTTGAGAGTGAAGTGGTAATTCTCCCTTTCCAACCGAGGATTAAAGCAGTTAGTCTCCTTTCCGCAAACACAAACGTTGTAGCGGTTAGTCTTCAAGTTCCAAAGTAATTGAGCTCAATAATTTTGGTTTGACAGGATAACCAAATAACCTCTGATATTTTAACCAGTCTAATCTTTGAGAATAATTGATTTGAACTAGATAAATCATAACCCTTGTGATTTTAACTGAGTTAATCTCAAACCTAGGAAGATTTTAATATTAGCTAATCTTTAAACTAAAAAGGAACTGATCACACTGACATGCCCTAATTTTTACTCCTAAGATCCCATATATTATCATTTGTATTTCATCAAGACCACAATCATGGCATCCTCCTAGAATTCATGTGTTTCTTTTTTCCTTTTATACTTTATACTTTACTAACCTTTATTCAAAATGAAAAAACATGTCTTGCTTTGTTTTTTTGTGCAAGTTAAGATTTTCCAGTCAACGGATCAAGTGAAGTTGCTAAATTGGGGTTTTGGTTCTCAAACTCAAGGATTGGTCAACAAGGTTTTTTTTTATTCAAGGAATGACCTATGATCTTAGGTCACATTCATAACAAGTTTCATTCAACATCATTTTTCCAAGAGAAGTTCAAGCTTGGTGCATGCTTTCAAGTGGAATCAAGTTAGGGTTTGTGTGTTTATTTCTATACCCTTTTTCATTCAAATTCCCAATCTATCATCAAGGTTCTTCAAAGGATATTCAAGATTCCTTCATTTTATGTCCAAGTAAACATCATTGAGCCTTTGGATGCAAGTAAAGTCAAGAAAATTCAAGTTGGTACATGGTTGTTTGACCTAAAATTATGAATGGCATATCATTTTGCCCCAAACCCATAACTTTATTGTGTCTCAATAATTTTTAGGCCTTCTTTGATCCAAATGTGCCTTTGATGTCCTCTACAACTTTGCTTCAAGGTTCAAATTCCAATTTAGCCTCTAAGTCCATTAATTTTGGAAATTGCTCAAAGGCCTTTTGTGCACAAAACTAGGTTCATGACATGTTTGACCTAATGCCATCCAAACTTGCAAATCAATGCCATGACTTCAAATTTACCTTAATGCCATTTTCAGATCAAGCTTCCTTTTGAGTTGGTTCTTTTTTCATTTTGTTATTTGCCATGAAAGGAACATTTGGCTCAAGAAAAATTCAAAAATGCACGAGTAGATAGTATTTGGCCTAAACATGAATATGGTGACCTGAACTCTATTTTAAATTGTGACCTATAATTATTAATCATGTGAAAATCAACTCCGGACCTCCCAAATCATGTGCAAACTTTATCCTAACCACAAAACGTGTTTCACCATAATGTAAAATGACTTGAAGAGCACCAAAACTCACATATTTTGTGCTCATTCTCTCATGGTTTAGATCTAGAAAATTCTCAGCTTGGTTCACATGATTGAGATCAAATCTCACACGTACCATGAGCTCACTCACTCTCCTATAAATAGAGGAAGCTTTTGACTTTATTTCCAAGCTTTAAAAGCCACAAAAACTATGAAATTTTTTCTCCTGATACCACTCCAAAACCAGAAAACCTAAACTCATTTTCTCTTCATTTCAATTCCAAATCTCCACCCAAAATCCTTCATCGGTATCATATGGAGGTGTTTGAATGTTTACAGAACCTTAAAGCTTCTTGCAAGTACCAAATCAGTTCCACCATTTTCATACCTTGAAGCTTCACTTCAAAAAGGTAGTTATGATTAAAATCCTTGGGAAAATAAGTTACCACTCTCTTCGTCTTGCTTCACTAATCAAAAAATCTCACTCAACATTCATTTATCATTTATATTAACATTTAATTTTACTTTGAAGCTTCTAGGTTTTCTGAGTATTTTTCCAAATTCTCTATACTTGAAGTGAATCAATGGCTCCAACGTAGAGAGGTGAGAACGATGGCAAGAGTAGAAGCTAAACAATGTGGTGGTTAGGCTTGAAACTCAGAGTTCAAGGATCTGTAATTTTGGCAAGAGGTTGAAAACGAAGCTAAGCTCCGCACCTTCTGGAGCGAAATTCAAATGTTCAACCAATCAGAAGCACCACCTAACCTAGCCGTTGGATATTTTGATTTATTTTCTTTTTTATTTCATTTAAATTCTATTTTCTTTTAAAATTAATTTTAAATATCTCCTAAATTCTTTTTCACTTCAATTTTTTCCATAATTTTCTAAAAGTATTTTGGAAAAATACCCTTTTTAGTCCCTTAACTCTATTTCGGGGTTCATTTTGGTGCCTTAATTTTTTAAAAGTTCGATATAGTCACTTATGTCTTTAAAATTAGGCATTTAAGTCCTTTCCTTTAATTCTCATAAACGGCATGTATTTTTTCACATGTGGCAAGTGACATGGCATATATCTATTACCAAATCCCACGTGTTAATATTATTATTTTTTATTTATTTTAATCTCAAAAAATTATTAAAATTAAAACAACTAAAAATATACATCACTCAAGAGTCGAACCCGTGTCTATAAGCTCACATTGGGCATAGATAACCATTTGTGCTGCCTGTCTATTATGATTTTATTTCAAATGTTTTATATGTATCAAGTAAAAGAAATAAGAACAAAAACATATAACTTCTTCTCTTTTATTCCACAACCCATTTTCTCTGCAACATCAATTTCTCTTCTTATTTCTCCTCACCGAAAACGATTCATCTTCTTTTTCTAATCTAAAAAGCATGGCACTGCATATAAAAAACATCAAAAAGAG